ATTCGTGATCAGCACCCCGAAAAACCACATAGCAGCCACACTTTACGACGTTCTAACAGGTCCCGATTTTCCCGCCTTTGGGGTCATTGACCTGACCTGCAAGGTCAACTAATGACCTAGGACCTTAAAATTGGGTATCATCGGCTTCCTCTCGTCACGGGCAACACGCTCGTTTTTTCCGCGAAGCTCTAGCTCGATCAGGGGCGAAACGGCAAGGGGGGGGGGGTCCAACGGACCCCCCCCCCCCTTATACGTTCGCGGCTGGAAAAACACCAATACGGGCGAGGGTTAACGCACTTGTCCTTATTAATTGAGAAAAGAGCGGACTTTTTATCGTATTACCTAATACGAAGTAACGCAATCGAAGTGTGATTTCGGTCCACTGTGCGTTTTCAGGCGCGCTCGATAAAACACCCAGGCCTGGAGAAAGTTGGAAGGGTGATTTTCTGATCCTCCTCACCACAAAATGACCCTAAGCGAAAAAATGCCCGCAGGGCGCTGCCAACGCGTGCCAGCGGCCCTGCTAGTAAGGGCGAAAATCAATGTAGGGGAAGCCGGGGGAAGCCCGGGCGCGGGGGAAGCCCGGCCACCCCGTTTCCGGCTAAATTATTCACAATAAAATGCTCAACTGTTTGTCCTTTCAGCGTGGCAGCTAAGGTAACGCCACTGCCAGCAAAAAAGTTAAGACTGACAAAAATTGCATATTGTTAAAGTTATAGCGCAAAAATGATATTTTAAGGGTTTTTAGCTAAAAAGTGAGATATGTTGCACTGTTAATGTTATACCATACATTACTAATATTTATACGAATGTTATGTAAGGACCGTTTAAGTGTTTGTAGTGAGGGGTGACGAGGCAGGCTGGCTTAAGTATGACATTTTTTCGAATATCGCTGTTCTAAAATAAAAATTAGCACATTGGGGTAACCCCGGGCGAGTGGCCAAGCTTACCCCCAACCGAGAGCAATGCCACTAAACCACTGTTTTCCATGAGATAATAGGTACTGAGTAGGTTTGTTTTACACCTAGATCAAAGATAAATTTCGAAAATAAACATGTTATCATAGACAAAGCCAGTCATGTCACTTAACCCTCGCGGGCCCGGGGGGGGGGGCGTTTTTCGCCCCCCCCTGGCGAATATTTGCGATAACTCACGAACGCTTAGGGATAGGAAGGCGAAACTTTCAGTACCTTTTCTCCCATCAATTTGACATCTTCTGAAGTAAAAAATTTGGACCTAGCCCCCTTGATGACGTCACAAGGTCCATTTTTCTAGACCGCTGCACGGCAAACTTCGGCGTCACAGACGCAAACTTGAAATAGCTCCTAAAAATAGAGTTTTAGAGATAAAGACAAATTACGAGCACGGCTGTGTAGCGTTTGACCTAGAGAAAAATAGAAAAATAGTTTCGGTGACCTGAGGTCAGAGGTCAGGTCAACGACCCCGAAATGTGGTTTTAGTTTTTCGCAAATAACTTCGACAAAAATGGTCCTAGAGCTACGGCAGTGGTACCATCGCATTCGCCTTGTCAAGCCGCGTCGAATGATATATATTTTGTTCGGAAAAGGTCAAGTTTCATGTTGACCTCATGTGACCTCGAATGACCTCTGGTTGACCTTGACACATGAAAGGTCGTTTATGATGGATTTGTACCCGCTAATCACGAATCTGGCATCTATTTTCCTCTAAGCCTTCATTTAGAGCTTCCGGATGGCAAAATTGTCTTATTTATTATTACTTACTTGCATCAGTGAAATAGCCTCTAGCAGGGATACTCTTCTGTGACCTTGACCTTTGAGCAGCCTTGTATCGTACGATGAACCACAAATAGGGAACTGGTAAGCCTCAAAACATTTCAAAACATCTTGGAAGATAGCACGCAAGATGTGCGAAAAACTGCCAAGTTTGAGGTCAATTTTGAGCGTGACCTTGACCTTGACCTTTAATTTGGAGCACATGTTCAGAATCCTCAGATTCTCTTCTTTCGTTTGACACCCAATTTTGCCGGTTTGATGCAGCCTGCCGTCCTCTAGAATGCTTACTTTGAGATCACTACACATGTGCCGGTTTTGGCCTTTGACCTTGACCTCTGACCTTGAAAATTGACCTGAGGTCAAAAACTTTGGGTGCATTAGAATCGTCTCATAAGGACCTTTCGTTTGGTATCGCTTTCGTTTCCGTAGCTCCCTTATTTACGGAGTTAGACAGGGGGGGCGAAAAACGCCCCCCCCCGGGCTGCGGTGGTTGGGATTACCCCCCGGGCCCGGCCGGGTTAAGGTCAACTAGGGTCAAACTACGTTTTTGCAGATATCGCGACAGACAATGAAGCTAGAGCTTCAAAAATGATGTCGTTGTGTTCTTCTTCATCAGCCGAGTCGAATGATATGCAATATGATGCATTAAGGTAAAAAGAAAAATAAATTTTAAGGAATTTAGAAATACACATTTTTTGTCAATTTTGCATCACGATTTTCATCGACCTGTACTGTATATGTAGTAGACGCTAGCTAAAATACCAGTAATGACATAAACTCTAAGATGTCCAGAGCTAATCAGTACCGTAATATTTCACTTTCCGTTAATATTTGGAAAACACATAATGGTTTCATCAACTCGTTGTAAAGCGCTGGGGAGGTGGCCGGCGTTACCCCTATGCCGGGCTTACCCCAGAAAAATCAACACTTTTTTAAAACTCGATTTTCTCAACCTTATACTTATTCCACGAAACCGAATTTTTGGGAAAACACGGCCAATGAACTTAGCTAGCTAGCAGGATATCAACATTTTATACAGCACGTATGGTATGTAATAAAAATGAAAAAGAGCTTACTATGCCGGGCTTCCCCCGGCTTCCCCTATGTGTATGCGGAGCACACCCTTAGCGCTACGATGGCTCCTTGGAGACACCTGGAGAAACCTCTGCCGGCAGAAGGGTCAGGTCCCTCGCAGACGGCGCGGCACGGCGGGAGCTCAGCGGGTGGCCTAGCCGGAAAGAGGATAAAAATAGCCGACTGGCCCGACCCAGCGAGGGGTGACCGAAGGGTGACCAGGAGTGAATGAGGGAACATACACGCGGTACCGAGCAGCCGATAACAGCACCGGACGATTAGTAAGCCATAAGTCAATGCTGTACTTTAGGCGTAAGGAAGCATCCATGTAGACGGGCGGACTGTCTCCAGCTCTTCCAAGTATTGCTAATATCTTGCTCCAACGAGCGTTGGCACGTTGGAAGTTTTATCGACCACTGTCCATTACGAGTCTAACAACTTTTATATCTCGGATTTTTCCTAAAGGTCATATGAGGTCAGGTCATTTTCGTGACCTCACCATTATAAGTCAATGGAGAAAAATGAAAACTGCTATTCTGGCGCCGGGAACGATCTCCAACTACCTCAAGCACACAGAATCGTGATTTGATGCACTCCTTGCAAGGTTAGATGCGTCACTTTTGCAATGTTGACCTTTCGTGACGTCATTTATGACGTCATCAAGGTCATATTAGTTTTTCGTCAATAGCTCCCGATCAAATTGAGCTAGCGAGTCGGGAAAGCCACCAATGGACTCAGGAAAACCTGCCAAATCGAATGATGTGCAACATGACCTCTTTCGACCAACTTCGTGACCTGGGGGCGCTGACGTGACCACGACCTGAGGTCAACACCGTAAGTTGACCTGATCCGAACAAAAAGTATATCATTCGACGCGCCGGCTGAGCGAGGCGAACACGATGCTGCCAAAATCGCGGCCTGCTGCCATTTTTTGCGAAGGTATTCACCCAAAACAGAACCGTACCTTGGGGCACTTGACCTAACTAAGAGCTCACCGGTTGACCTAGGACCTTAAAATCGGGTACCAATCTCTGCGTTCGTAACGGCGCACACGCTCGTTTTTTCCGCTACGCGCTAGCTCCACCAGGGGCGAAACAGCGAGGGGGGGTCGTACCCGCCCCCCTCCCCCCTCTCGGCCGTCGCGTATGTAGAAAACCAATAGGTCAGGCGAGGGTTAACCCTCGCCCGCACATGCCATTTTCCCATCCTAGAACGCACATGGGGGGGGGGGTGGTTGCCACCCCCCCCGCGCCATTTCGTTCCTGTTGGAGATAGAGCTTAGCAGTAAAGACCAAAAAGATTCTTTGGGAAGAGACGAATCCAATGATACCCAGTTTTACCTTCTCAGGTCAGTCATTGACCTTCCAGGTCAGGTCAAACTAAAAAATGTTGCTGTTTTGGGTAACCGTTGGATATCAAGTACGCTGCTTAGCAAATACCGATGACGATGCTGTTTTCTGGTGCCAAGCCAGCTAGAACCTCTTTGTCACACTATCCGACCAGAATTTTGCTGCTGAGGTCATTTCAGGTCAAGTTAGGTCAAGGTCAATTATATGTGTTTGTATGTCTGTGTGTGTCTGTGTGTATACTGATGTGTGCACCGATTGTTTTTGGGTCCATATCACATGAAATCATGATCTGAGAAGCTTTTACCAAAAATGCAGTCAAAAAACTTCACAAAAAGTAAATTCAGCTTGCCTAAAACGCAATTATCTTAGATGACCTAGGTTGACCTTGACCCTGACCTTGAACCCTGTACATCGTCGAACAACATGTTCCATGATAGGTGGGAGGTAAGACTGGCAAAAAAGGCCGAAATCAGGGTGTCAAAAGCTCACAAGGCCCATGGCAAACGCAAGATGTTGAGAATTGGCCATTTGGGTCATGACATGACCTGAAAAACAATGTCATATCTCCGAAACCAAAAATCACAGAAACTTGAAATTTTTAGTGGACATCAAGAAAGGATAGACGAGCAGCTATACGAAAAATCAGCGTTCTAGCTCTAAAAATGTTGAGTGCAGAGCAGAAAGACTGCCTGGGGGGGTGGCAACCACCCCCCCCCCATGTGCGGGCGAGGGTTAAACTTCAGGATTCTCCCGATTACCCATGTCAAAAAAAAAACGCGTAAACACGGTTTACGATATACCTACTGTTCAGGGGCAAACACGATTTAAAACATTGATTGATATATGTATTCGCACGTCACTCGCATACTGCATATAAATACGGAATGACTTTTTGGCGACGTCATTACATAGGTGCAAGACCAGCGCGCTACAGTGCGCTGGTCTGGTATGTACCGATGGTGTTTTGCACGTGACTCTAGGCCGCCCTGGCTTTTCAGGTGAGAGACTTATTCAAGTGCGAGATAGCTACCAATTATAAACACAAGGTTCAAAGAGTTAAAATGCATTGAGTTTGCACTTAAATGACAAGATCCACAGCGCCTATGAGAAAACATCGGATGATGTGTCAGATGCTTCTCCGGTATTTTCACAGGTAAATCAGGCATCATATGTCCGACGGCAGCATGCTCGCTGAAAGGAGGGACTCCATCACTCGAACATGTTTGGTGTCACGTGTTCTGGTTCGCTCGGCGCTGTCGCCCCGGGATAGTCGCCTGCTGCTGCGTCAGTGGCCGCTGTCGCTGCCTGCTGCTAACTTGCTGTGGATGCTGCTCCTGTCACTGCTCTAGAGCCCACCCCCAGAGCTGTGCTTAGTACGGCAGGGGCACGTTCAGCTGCCGGTAGTGGAAGTGGTTGCTCTGCACGGGCACCGGACGCACACGCGGCACCGGCACCGGCACGGGCACGGGGCGCACGCGCGGCACGGGCACCGGCACGGGCACCGGGTCCACCACTGGCACCGGGTGCGGCACGTTCTTGACCAGCGTGCGGTGGACGAAGCGCTCCACGGGCACGTTCTGGACCACGGGGTACGGCTCCGGGTACGGCGCCGCGTACGGCCGCTCGTGCACGTACGTGTCGATCGGCCTGAAAACGACAACGGCAATGCGTTAGCTCAACGACAACCGTCTGAGGGACTGACGCAACCACAGTCCGGCACAGAGGGATGGAGGCTGCGGAGGAGAAGCCATTCTCTTCTTCGCCGATCAAAGGCGTTATGGCGAGTCCGTGAAGGCGCCACTCAATGGCTTCAACTCAGGATAATATGGATTTCGTCTGAATGCAACTTACCCACGGGAACGCACATTTCTATACCTAGTTATGAAATTTAAATTACCTACACATTTCCTATTTTGCTGAGTGCTTGCGCGGTAATTGTTTGCTGCAAAACCACAGTCCAGAGACTCATACGGTTTCCTTAGCATGTTCTTTGAGCTGAGCACACGGCTCGGTCGCCGCTGTTTTATACAGTCGAACTGGTATAATTGGACTCACCCAGACGGGAGTGTGGGCCCGTAAAAGGCAGAGGCACAGCCGGCTGCCGCCGCCACCACGACCAGCGTAGACTGGAGAGAGAGCGGGGAGAGAGTTAGAGAGGGAGAGGGGGCAACGGGTCAACATAACGCGGAGCCTTGAGACATTCAGTGGGGCTGGTACACACAGCTGGAAACTTTGTGTGTAGATCACAGACTTACCAGAACGCAAGAAAACGGTTGAAGTGTGAAGCTCAATAACCTAATGGCATTATAGGTATTCGACTCATCAATTTGGATAAGTGGATGACTCGACAATGTTTACGAGAACTATTTTACCTACATAAGGTGAATTATTAGGTGTGCAACGTCGATACTGACAGCTTGAGCTTCGGCTGTCTACGCAGTTCTACGTAGTTCCATTGCTGGCTGCTTAGTCAGCCCGTTGTTCAATTAATTACCCATCACCAGCTTGTCTATACCTATACCAAAGCGTACCTATACCTACCTATGTTAAGCGTATATAAATTTACAAATGAAAAGTTTTCGCAATGCTTTAAAATACATCTATTATTTCATCGAATTGAATCAATATTTCCCTTATAATTAAAACGGAACTACTTAAAAATGAAAATAAAATTTGGGGGCTTTCTAGTTTCTAGCACTTTCTTCCACATGACGGACGTTCCCGGATGTCTTCTCTTACCAGCAGCTTCATGGTGAGACCGACGGCTGTGGTTGGGGTGACGGACCGCACCTGCACGCCAAAGACGGACTGACGATTGTCGGCACCGGGACGCCTTTATAGGTGCCGGTAAATGGTGCGACCCCCCCCCCCCCTCCCCCTCCCCCGACCCATCCTTCCCAGCACCGTCCACTGGCCGGATGCACCGAGTCGGTTTTCCGTCGCCAGTCCCACGGTATATGACGAGGGAGTTCGGCCCATCGAACATGAACGGACGAGCATTTTATTGACAGGTATTGTCAGCATTATTACTGGTCGCCATTTGTCGTGAATTACTTGTGTTGAGGATTTATCAAGATTGTAACATCCCCTCAATGGTAGTGCCTTGCATAGATATAAGCCTGCTGCCGCTGGGGGGGGGGGGATGGAATCTCCCACCCCCAGTTTTTCGCCAATGACTTCTAAGCGCGCTATGTGAGCGACGCGAAACGTTCAGTACCTAATCACAATCAATTTTTACATGTCATTTATTTAACCCTCGCCCCACTGGGGGGCAATTTGTCCCCCCCCCCTGTGGTTTTTTTTAAATAGCAATTGAAAACGGCGGCGCGCAGCGCCGCCAAACTTTCAGTACCTTACCGGGCATCTACAAAATTCCAAGTCTTAAGTCACCTTAGGTCAGGAGTTATTTTCAGGTCAAACTGAGGTGATGTTCGAGCGAAAATGAACAAAACACATGGAATCTTCAAACGCTCACAAAAGCTACAGTTGCTAAGCAATTTCAAAGTTCTTTATATGATCATGTAGAGAAAAGACGGTGCTACAAAACTGCCATCTCGGATTTTCAAACTTTTGGGATTTTGACCCCCAAAAATTAAAAAAAGTTGATTTTTCAGAAAACGCAAAAAAAAAAAATCCCAAAAGTTTTTGAATTTCGAAAAACTGGAGTACATGTGATAGTCCCTGCGCTCTTCTATCTACATACCAATTTTTAGATCGATACCTCTTTTTTGCCAAGTTATGGCGGAAAAGCTGCTCAAAATTGATGACGTCATATTTTTTAACTCAATTTTTGGCGATTCTAAAGCATGTAGCGCAATACAAAGACCACCATTCAATTGAACTCCCCGTGACGAGCTGCATCAAATCGATATAGGTACAGTCGTGTACAGGTTGATGGTCCCCTACTCTTTATCCACCGGGTTCCTATGGCTCAGCATTGGCAGCAGCCGCCTGGTACCGGTAGGCTGTGCCGCATGACCCGAGAGTGAAGCGGCACAGTCTACCCACGCTGTTTGACATCGGCTCGGGTCGCCGGGTGGAGCGCTTTGTAGACCAGCTGTCGCGTCAGACTAGCGCGGGGGGAGGGGCTCGTCTCGGTGGTTGGCGTGGGCTGGCGAGTGGTGTGGGGCGTGTTGGTGGACCATGGGGGCTGGGCGGGTGTGTGTGGTCAATTGCTGCATTGCACATTTTGCGTCGCTTAACAATTGCATTCCTGTTTTTGCTAAGCACAATGCACGGAAGACCCAGCGAATATAATTTACTTGTGCATTGTGCAAAACGTGATTTGGCATGGTATAGAGGCAACCATAGGTCTTGTGCCACATATATGCATGATACCTATTTAGGCAATACGCTTATGAAAATGGTAGATTGATCGGATTGATCCTGGATGTCGATTCGTATGCTAAATGTCGACATGTATTAAATGAACGAATGAATGAATCAATCAATCAATCGACAATCGACATGTAGATATAAAACCGTATAAATGGCTCGCAACCACTAAAATCAAAACAGATCCTAACTCGGAAAAGTAGCCGGAGCCCCGATGAGGCTCGAACCGGGACTCCACGTTGAAAGTTTTGCCAATGATCCATCATCATTCCACCAAGCTAGAGCGACCGGCACCCGAAACCACAAAAACATTCATTGACTTTGCTGCCGACCTCCCGGCCCCGCCGACCGCCCGGCCAGACTTTACCCCGGCCGTGGCCACCATCCGGTGTAGCTCAGCGTAGGAGTGCTAGACTGTCAAACTGACCGGTAGTGGGAGGCCCGGTTCGAGACGCTTCGCGTGCTGGGTGTTTATTTCTGTGTCCGAGGCTATGTGATTAGTCCATTTTTCAGTAAGATTATTTGGTGACAGGTCTGTTTTCTTTCTTTGCTGCAATGCATGAGGAGACCGTATGGACCCTTACCTATCCTTCCGCACCCCACTTGGGAGATGGGTGTTTGAACCCCCCTGGGTTTTGTGAATATCTCTAAAACGAATTTTTGGAGGGTGGATTACGATCGGTTCTATGCGACAAGTGACCACGCACACCCAGCCCCAGGTCCGCTCCCTCCCTCCCCACATCACCTTCACCTGACCTTTAACCCCCTCCCTCCCCCCCCAACCGGTGTAACGCAGCGTTCGGTCAAATCGCTCTACCAGGCGACCCGAGCCGGTGTCATACAGTGTGGGTAGGCTGTGCCGCTTCACTCTCGGGTCATGCGGCACAGCCTACCGGTACCAGGCGGCTGCTGCCAATGCTGAGCCATAGGAACCCGGTGGATAAAGAGTAGGGGACCATCAACCTGTACACGACTGTACCCATTTTATGCAAAATATCAACTTTGAAATTTGACCTAATTTGACCTGACCTTCACCAGAACCTTGACCTGACCTTCACCGGAACATCATTTAAACTGACCCCAAAGCCTGCCTGACCCACATAATTGCATTAGGCATATAAAATGGACAATAAAACATGCATCACATGATATTTTCATATTGTGACCCTCCAGTGACCTAACCTCTGTGACCTAACCTGGTATCAGTGACCTCAAATAGCAAAATATGTGTTTGACGAACAATACTCCATCGATGATTTTCATTGAAATGTATTCTACTCGATTTTACAACGCATTTCTTGAAATGCCTGTAAACGGTGAAAATTCGACATTTGACCTGACCTGTGACGTCAGCGGTGTGACCAAGGTCAATGAAATTAGGTCACAAGGTAGTTCCCTGTTGGGGCTATCCAACGCCAAAGGGCGCGGGTTAAACGAAACCTGTCAAAAATATTTGAAGAAAAGAACGACCGTCATAGTGATGTCATGTAGCGCCATGAAACTACACAACTTCAAACGCCTCTAACATCTTCAGTCTAACAACATTATCCTCTAACAATAGGGGAAGCGGGGGGAACACCGCCACTGTGGGAAACACCGCCACCCCATCTGGCGGCGAAAGTATGCAATGTGAAGTGTAAAAATCCGTTATTTCCGCACGAAGGTAAGCGTCTTCTGATTTGTGTTCCGGTGATTCAGTGTAATCGAAGCTTAATGTGGGCATTTAAAGAAAAATGTACATTCTCTTATAAAAATTCGATGAGTTGGGAGCCCTTTTGAATGTCTTTAAGAAGAGACTCATTTTGATTTACTTGATTACATCGAAAAATAATTGATCGGCTTTGTGCAGTAAGATAAGTTTGCTTGAACCGTGTAGTATATTCTTGCCGCTGGCGATTTTTGCTTGTGATCACTTATTGGGGAACACCGCCACCCCGTGGCGGTGTTACCCCGATTGAGGTTGCGGTGTTTCCTGTTCGTATAGCGTGATAAGTGATGAAACTCCCAAAGAGACGCTTTTTTATATTCGTAGATGTTCCTAAGTCGGGAATAAGCAGTTTATTTGATTTTTTTACTTTATATTTTTCATGCATCCTGACCAAGCACTTGTCAGCTGTATAAAACTGGCAAAAAGCTGATGAACCTATGCCTATTTAGGTGTCCATTACCGATTATTTGCGAAAATTACCACTTACCGACAGGAAACTCATCGCACGCGATCTCTGAACAATTAAAAGCTTTCTTAGGAATGGGTTGGGTTAACATCAACATCGGTGGCGGGGTTACCCACACAATTTGTAGGCGGCAAATATGCAAGGTATTTTTAAAAGTCGTGATACATGAAAACCTTTTAGGAGCATGCAAAATAAGTACCTAAAACACGTGAGAAAATGTTTAAATATTGTAACCAAGACAATAACTACCAAGAGACTTCACACATATTCTCTCATTTTGGCGAAAAGCTTAGGGGGGCGGTGTTACCCCCGCTTCCCCTAAAGGCGTAACAAGAAGCTTGCGTGCTATTTTATCATGTCTTCCAAAGTGCTTTTTTGAAAATGTTGTCTTTTGATCCAGTTTTTCATAAACAACTTTTTCAATCGTAATTAAGTCCAAAAATTTGGGCTTGTAAAAACAGAATTTATAGAGAAGTAGGTCCCAATTTTTAGATGAATCGGTTCAAAAATGTAGAAGTTATTCAATTTTTGGTGACGTTTCCACGCAATTTTTTTTAATATCTAGACTGTATACAGATATGGAATTAGCACTATTCAATTCTTCGTGAAAAAAAACTTCATCAGAATTTGCACATCTTTTGGTCTTAAGCTCTGTGAGTAAATTGAAACATGTGTCTGACTATGGTCTGACATTACCATTAAAATGTTTACAGATTATTATCTGTTTGTTCAGGAATAGGAGAAAAGGATAGGAATCGAAGAAGCCACAAGGGCGAAATATCAGTGTCTTTATATATATATTTTTTTTGTCATTTTTCGATTAAGTATGAGCAAAGGCTATTTCATCATCACTAAAACTATAATACTAACAATGCTCATCACAGCCATCAACCATATATGAAAAGGATAAATGATAACAATGACAAGTCAAATGTATGCACTGCCTAACAGAAAGCGAAATGCGGTTAACTACCTCAAACAAGCATAACACATTCGAAGGTCATCAAAACTGAAAACTATTTTATTCATTCTTTATCGATTTTGTTATGTAGCAGCAGGAGTAAGCAGGTTACACGAGTATTCCTCATGTAAAACATGTCTCAAGAATAAGGAAAGTTTCTGGTGACATCTGTGTGTACCAAACAACTTCGACGAAACACCGAGTGTTACGTCGGATCCCTGCTATCTGGGGACCCTTTTAACTACTTCTCTTTGCAAAAGATGCGTTGGTATACCAACGGTTTAATCTCGCCATACCAATCGGTTTTAAAAGCCAGGGGGTTCGTGCACCCTAT